ATGGAGATGTGGGGTGGTCACCATTGATGTTTTATCTTCATGGATCCGATATTTTAAATTGTTAATATTATTTCAACTATTTACTAAATGGTATTACATCTATATACAAAAGGCTTTTGAAGCATTGTGGTTTCTCTTTACTTTTGAAACATATTGAACCAGTGTAGTATTAGTGCAGTGAGGTCAGAGTAAAAGTGCAGAAATAAATAAGACACAAGTTTTTTCTTTTTGAATTCACTAGAACAAGAAAGTCTTACACTAATCTTTTATGTTACAAGAGTTCTTTAGGATTAGACCAATCTTAAGCTAAAACTCAAACTAGAGCCTAGAATTTTTTTTTATCAAGATCACCCAAACCCCGAGTTAAACTCCTCCTAAATTTAGACTTCAATCTTTAATTCCAACACTCTGGAAGTACGTCAACAACTACGTCAACAACTAACGCAAAGCAGCAACACCAAAAGCTTAATCACACAAGCACCCAAAAGATCTCTCGACTTTTCTTTTTCACACAGGACACCATTCTTCAAAGAGGCACGTCCTCCTTGTATAGATACCAGAACTTGCTCCCTAAGTTCTTCCAAAACAGCTTAAGCAACTTTCCTTTTTCTCTTATGTAATAACTCTCTTGCGTTTTCCTTTGCAAGTAATATATTTCTTTAATGTAAATATCTCAATAAATATATTGCTTCTTCTCCAAGCTTGACAAGCTCACGAACATCACAAACCACGAACTCCAACCAAGCCCATCTTTATGACACACACATATACTATCTTCTGTAGGACTTCACGAACTGACACAGAATATATATCTTCAATCTCCCCCTTTTTGACTATGCATGTGCACTCATAATAACTAGCTTGAAAACCACGTCTTCAATCGCCCCCTATGAGTCACATCATGGTCAAAACTAATAAGAAGATCGATATCTTCCAAAAGGAGGATGACATCCCATTCCACCATCTCCATAGTGATCAAATCTCCTAGACAACGCATTCCTGAGCTCAAATCCTCCATGATTAGCTCCTTGAACAGATCTGAAACAATCACGTCGAATATGCCCTTAAACTCGACAAGAATAACATATAGGACCATGACTCCTCATACAATAACCTTGCTCCATCTGATTCTTCTCTCTCAAAAAGTTGAAACATCTTGGCCTAATGTGCCCAAGAACATCAAAGTGATGACAAACAGGCCGGAACTTTCATTCAGATGCCCTCTTAAGATCAGAAACATTACCCAAAGCAGTTGCTGTAGCAGAATGTGTAGCAGTACTCGTAGCAGCCGCATTCTTCACATCAGTTGCAGCCTTCACTGCAGTCTTTCCATTTGTTGCATTCCCAACAAACACCTTAACCCATGGCTTTGTAGCATACGTAGCTACACCATCAGTTTTCCTTGCTGATACAAAAACACCTTCAGCTTAAGATTCACCTTTGAATCCAACCACATCGATCAGTTTGCCCAATGCTGAGAAGAAGATCCGTCCCATTATTCAGCATCCTCAAACCCTTATGAGTCTTTGAAAGTTGAGCATCAGCCTGTCTAGCTTCTTCTTCTTTCTCTAAAGCATACTTAAATGCTTTCGCCACTTGAGTTTCTAGCTTGACTTTCTCTTTAGTCAAATCTGAATTTTCCTCAACCATCTTGAGCCAATGCTCATACAGCTTCTCATAATTTCCAGCAAAATCAAAGCTTCCATCATCATCATCATCATCACTTTCAGCACCAGCATCACTTCCACATGAAGACCCTGACACAGACGCTGACACTTATCCCGCTGCAGATTTTGCCTTAGAACACGAATCAAAAATTGTGAACGCCACCAAGTTCTTTATCTCTTCACCATCATCTGAATCAGTATCATATTCATTCTTGACGTCAGTCTTCTTCTTTTGCTATTCGCACATTCCTTCTTAATATGCCCAAATCCATTACACTCATAGCATTTTACCTTTGATGATGATCCACCTGAATCACTTCTTCTTCCACTCTTTATCATATCTTCTCTTTGCTTCATATATCCAGCAAAACTTCTTACCAGCATTCCCATAGAATCTTCAGAAGTTATACTTTTTAGAGCAATTCCATAAGAATCTTCTTTCTTCTTATCTTTATCACTACGCTTATCTTGATCTCTATTGCCTTGCTCAACTCAAAGCTTGAAGAATCCCAACAAACTCATCAAAAGCCATCTCATCCAGATTGTGAGCTTCTTGAACAGCAGATATCTTTGGCTCAAACTTTAATGGCAACAATCTCTTCAGCTTATTCACCAGCTTCTTGTCTTTGTACTGGTTTCCAAGTGCAGAACACTCATTCAAAATGTCACACAATTTAGCACTAAACTGAGCCACGGTTTCTTCTTCATCCATCCTCAGATTCTTAAACCTTGATGCTAATATATCCAGCTTGGTTCGCCTGACAAATGTAGTACCTTCAAATATATTCCCCAATGTCTTCCATGCCTTCCCCAATAGCATTTTAAATCGCAATTTTGGCCTTAGAGTTGCAACTTGAAGCCTTCTTCTCTGCAGCAGTCCACTGATCTCTTGGCTTCAAAACTTCAACCTTCTCATCATTAAGCATCACTGGATGAATCCAATAATCCTCAATAGAACTCCAACAGTCTTCATCAATACCACTAATAAAGACTTGCATATGTACCTTCCAATATCCATAATTGGAGGAGGTTTTTTCATAGACGTTCCATCTTGATATGTCGCCATAAAAAAAAATTTGTCCTTTTTCCTGAACCAGTTTCTATCTTCACCCTTCAAGATCTCACCAGTAATTTAGGTGACCCGCTCTGATACCAATTGTTAGTGCAGTGAGGTCAGAGTAAAAGTGCATAAATAAACAAGACACAAGTTTTCTCTTTTCGAATTTACTAGAACAAGAAAGTCTTACACCAATATTTTCTATCAAGAGAATCTTTTAGGATTAGACTAATCCTAACTAAAACTCACCCTAAAGCCTCGACTTTGTTTATTAGGATCACACAAATCCCAAACTAAACTCTCCCTGAATTTAAATCTTTACTTCCAACACTCTGGAAGTACGTCAACAACTACGTCAGCAACTAACAAAGCAGTAACACCAAACGCTTGATCACACAAGTACACGAAAAATCTCTCGACTTTTCTTTTTCTTAGGGGACACTTTTTTTCATAGAGACACATCCTTCTTGTCTAGATATCAAAACTTGCTCTCCAAATTCTTCCAAACAATTTAAGAAAATTTTCTTTTTTTCTTAAGGAATAATTCTCTTGACTTTTGCTATTCAAGTAATAAATTTATCTTTAATGTATTTTCTTCTCCAAGCTTGACAAGTCTACGGATATCACAAACGACGAACTCCAACCAAACCCAAATTTATGACACACACACATAATGTCTTTTGTAATACTTCACGAACTGACACAAAATATACATCTTTAATCTCTTCCTCTTTAACTATGTATGTACACTCATAATAACTAATTCGAAAATCACGTTTCCATGTAGTTTCCAAACGTAAAATCAATAATACTTAATCCTTTAGACTGACTCGTCTTTAGCAGTTTTTTTAATTTTAAAATTGATATATCGATCACTCTTACAAAATACAAACTAAGTAGAATGTAGTTCGTTTAAGAAGACGAAAATATGACTAAAGACGGTATTAATTACATAACATGGTGATAAAACTGAAGCTTTCTTTGCAAATTGCAATAATTAGGCTTCCCAAAAGAAAGTTTGAAGCCTGTCAATTTTCTGTAGTATCCCTTATATATTAAAAGAGAAGCATTTTGCATTAAATGTTTTCACACCACCTTCTCACAATTTATTACCTTATTTACTACCTTCTCACAATTTATTACCTTATTTACTACCTTCTCACAATATATTACCTTATTTACTTCAACAATTGTTTACCTTATTTACTTCAATTATAAAACACACGAGATACTTTAAAACTACAAAGTTCAATATCGCATAAGACAAGTTCGGAGGCAAGTGAATTGGCTTGAGGGTCGATGTCAAAGTTCTGGAACGTTGTTATAAGAGCGGTGGGACGTATCTAAGATGATGGATGTGAAGGGCAACGTACCGGAGCCCATGAACGCGATCTTGGTTTGGACATGGCTCGTGTGTAGCGTGAAGAGATTGAACTCAACCTTGCTAAGTTTGAGGTAGTTAGTGTACTGAGGCTAGATCTAAATGGTGAAATGTGTTGTCTTCGAGAGATCCCAAGGCCGTATAGTAGTGGTGCTCTGAAAACTCTATATCTTCACTACGTAGGTTGGTGAGATTGGTTCTGTAGTTTTGGACTTTTGGGTACAAGTTTTTAACGTCGATTTTGGTATCCATAGGCAAGAACGTGGACATGAGCTATTGAACAAATTGTCGACATATATATGTGAAAGGTTTAAGGGCTCTTGAGATTGGAGATTTTGTTATACAAGTCGAGAATTTGCTTCTCGAAATGACCATTTTCACAACCCATTTCGAGACTAAAAGGAGATTTAATTTGGGATTGTCTCAATACTCTTAATGGTGTTGACATCAATATACTTTCATCTTACGTGTTTCCATGTCGTGTGAATGACAAAAAAAATCAAATATATGAGACAAAATCGCAATTTAACCAAAAAAACAATATTTATTATATAGATATATAATTGGACGATATTAAAACCCGAAACAACCAATCCAAAACAAACTAATATGCAAATAAAACATATATAATGTCTTCTTATCTTCAAAAATACAACAAATTTAATCATCTCATCCCGCGCAAGGTGCGGGTCTAATCCTAGTATAATGCTATTATACAGTGCATTTTGTATTATTATTTTCTTTTTTTTAAATATTAATTCAGATTTTAATACACAACTGCTATAAGTTGAATCATTTTTTCTTTGAAAATAAGTTGAAGTTGAATCATTTTTGCTTTGTTTCTAACATGTAGAAAATAACTAGTTAACTACTATAGTACAAAAAATGATTTTCAACCGCTTAATCATTGTAAGCCGATTGCAACTGTGAAAACAAAGACGTACTGAAAGAAATTAACACAAACAAATCATTAATAAGATGATTTTTATTGTAGCAAAATAATGAACTTTGCCTAACGAAAGCACGAAAAAAATAAAAAAAAGTCAACGTATACCGTTGACAAATCATTTCTCATCCTCGAAAGCAGAGACAGGAAACGAGCGTGACAAACCCGACGGAGCAGCAAAAGTGATTTTAGTCGTATCTTGATCATCAACGTAAATCTCAGAGATGGTAACCCAAATCAAAAGCTCTTTGCTCTTGATTCCTGTAAGACTACGCATCCTACGGTTCTCAATGAAAGCAGTAACCTCCGAGTCGTACGATACGCTTTTGCCGATGGCTTTAAACTTGTGCTGAACCTTGTTCTTCATCTTGATCCATATATAACCGGTGGATTTGTTGAAACCGATCTCGGTCATTGTGTCTAAAGGGAGGAGTCCTTTAGGTAGATTCATGGACGATAAGATCTCGTGAGCTTTTTGCTTGCATGTTGATACGCCATTGAAGATCTCTGCTCCTTTTCTTTGATCTGGTTTGGTTTCTTGAGATGTCATTAGATTATGAGGTATGCGACTTTAATGGTGTTATGATTTTGTTGCTCTTATATAGGTCCTTGGCTCTTTGCAGTCTTTTGAGAGATAATTGGAATTAAATTACGAAATTGGATCTGTGAAAGAGAAAGGAGTAGGGCTTAAAGGTGAGGAGGAAATGGTAATCGAGTCTATATTACGGGACATACATGCGTACTACGTATGTTGGGAGTGGGATCCATGCACTTTGGATTTGTGGAATTTATTTTTATTTCCTTACAACTCGTGGAATTTTGAAGGTTAATTATGAATAATTTTTCTTTCGGATAAAATATTTTTTTGTTAGTTATTATTATTATATAGATGTAAAAGTCTAGTTTTAAGAGAGACAGGGGAAGTAATATTAATGTTAGAACTCGTTTTTGATGAAGTTGTTTTTATCATTTTGTGGGTTGTTTGGTGAAAACGTATGCTGGAATCCCTTAGAGCATCAATAACGCTAAAACGATGGCTCGTCTCTCAATTTTTTCTTTCTTTTTTTTTGTTTTTTTTTTCTAAAAAAATTAAAAGCATAATCAATTACGGACCGCCACATATTGTGGGGTCCGCAAAACAATGTAAAACACCTACAGAAAACGTCGCTTATTATGTACACAAAAAGGTGGATTTTTGATAATTCGTGGGTCCTCCCCCTTGAAAATACGCACAACAGACGTGCATTGTTAATGCTCTTACGGTTTCACAATAATTTAAAGAGTTTATTACTCAAGTTCGACATAAATGTATTCACATTACGGTTTTTTTACATTTTTCTTCAATGTAAAATTCACATTCATGGTTCCAATAAAACTTACACTATCCAAATTTTTCGGTTCGAATACAAATGTATAACAAACCAAAAGCCCAATTATATATATATATATAGTGACATTGTTTTTTCGCTCTGAACCAAGGGATCCCTTATATATGATGCAAGATGGATCTTGTTCTATCGTTGATCAGAGATTTCTCTATGAAAAATATGAATCGGAGTTTGAAGAAGGGGAAGGAGAAGAGTCTTCGACCCGGAACAGATAGAGGAGGATTTATTCAATCACATAGGTTGGACTCCTAGTATATGGCGCCGTCGAGGCTTTCTATTTGATTGTATCGAAAGGCCTAATGAACTGGGATTTTCCTATTTGACCGGGTCATTTCGGGACAAGCGGATCATTTATGATGAAAATTATGAGCTTCAAGAGATCCTCCTACATCTATATATATAAACTTTCACTACAAGAAAAAGAGGTTTTTATAGCGGAGCGTTTTTTTCGTTTTCGCTATGGTTGATATGTAATTGGGTTTATATAGCGGTTATAAAATTGTAAACGCTATTATTAGTTGGGCCGAAATTTAATAGTCATTTTACATAGCACTTTACTACGGAAGTGCTACGAATAAGTTAGACGGACAAAATTTTCATTTGCCCGGGCTTACCGATTTCAATTAAAATCATTTTTTCTTTTTTGGTTCTTCCCTCTCTCTATCGAGTTCTCATCTCCCATTTATCTCTTCGTCTCAATTATTTTCCCGTAGAAGTGGTCTGACTCTAAAAAATTGATCTCTTCTAATCTCCTTAGAGTTTCTCGTCGTAATGGTTTTCCAGAATCGCTAAAACCCAACAACCATTCTTCGATTCTGAATCGTAGGTACAATCTCTTCTTTTTTTTTTGTTTCTGATAAACCAATCGCCTGTTCCTATTTAACTGGTGACCGATTTAGGGTTGCATGTCCAATTGATTCGGTCTTTTACTCTTTTGCAGGGAGCTTTAGATTCAGATCTTCCGAGAAAGGTATATGTCTTGTAATTTTCTGGGTTTGGCTATAGCTTTTGAATTTGTTTCAATTGAATTATATCTTTGCTTTTATTTTCCAGGTCGTTTAAATCAAAAGAGAAGACATTTTTATCAGGTAAAACCAAACCGATTTATACTGATTCTTCTATAAGTTGTCTTTGTGTGTTCTTGAGGCATAAATAAAGTTAGTGTTTTTTATATACATTTGGTCGGAGCTGTTGTGCGATGGATAAAGCTTGGGTCTGGTTACCAAGGTATAAATATTACAGTGATTTCCTTCTATTTTTTTTTTTTATTTCATTCACAAAATTGTGCTTCTGAATTAATTTTCATTTGTGTGCATCTAACAGGAATAGTCTCGAGTATGAGCAAGGTGCAACTGAGTTTGTTTCTTCGTCATCAAGACGATTGGGTGATCTACTTGAAATTTTCTGCCCTTGCGTTGATTGCCGCAATGTCTGCCATCAATCAAGAGAGACCGTTTTTGAGCATCTCGTCATCAGAGGGATGGATCAGAAGTACAAGAGATGTACATATTGGAGTAAACACGGGGTTTAAGGCCAGACAAGACAGCTGATGTTCAGACGTCTGAAAATGAGGCTTATGAGTTGATGAGAACAGCTTTTATAGCGAGCGATGGCAAGACACCATTTGAGAAGCAGAATTCAGAGGATTTTGATGGTATTGAGAGGCCAGAAGATGACGAGTTTAGGAAGAAGTTAGATGATGCCGAGACTCCACTGTACCCGACATGTCAGAAATACACCAAGGTTGCTGCTATCATGGGTCTTTACCGTATAAAGGTCAAGAGTGGGATGTCAGAGATCTATTTCGACCAGCTAATGACATTAGTTCATGACATGCTACCTCCAGATAATGTTCTGCCTAAGTCTACGGATGAGATGAAGAAGTTCTTAAAGGTGTTTGGTTTTGGTTATGATGTCATCCACGCCTGCAAAAATGATTGTATCCTTTATAGGAAACAGTATGCGAAGTTAGTTTGCTGTCCAAGATGTAGTGAATCAAGATGGGAAAGAGATAAGCACACTGGTGAGGAGAAGAAAGGAGTTCCATGTAAGGTGCTTAGGTATTTTCCCATTAAAGAGAGATTCAAGAGGATGTTTAGATCGAAACGGTTGGCTGAGGATTTGTGTTGGCACTTCAACAATGCAACTGAAGATGGATCTATGCGGCATCCTGTGGATTCTTTGACTTGGGTTCAGGCAAACGATAAGTGGCCGGAATTTGCTGCTGAGGCAAGAAACCTGAGACTAGGTCTTTCTACTAATGGGATGAATCCATTCTCGATTCAGAACACCAAGTACAGCACATGGCCGGTTCTCCTAGTTAACTACTATATGGTGCCAACTCAGTGCATGAAAGCGGAGAAAATTATGTTGACGATGTTGATACTTGGACCAACAGCACCTAGCAACAACATTGACGTGTATCTACAGCCCCTGATAGAGGACCTCAAGGACTTGTGGACGGAAGGTATTGAAGTTTATGATGCCTTTAAGAAAGAGAGTTTTAATTCAAGAGCTATGCTGTTGTGGAGTATCACAGACTACCTAGCTTTAGGGACATTAGCTGGATGCAAAGTTAAGGGCAAGCAAGCATGTATTGTATGTGGGAAGGAGACACCGCATAGATGGCTTAAGTTTAGTAGGAAACATGTGTATATGGGCAACAGGAAGCGACTGATGCCTGGTCATCCCTATAGACGTAGAAGGGTTGGTTTGACAACACAGTGGAGTCTGGTGTTTCAAAGAGGATTCAGAGTGGGAAAGAAATATTTGACAGCCTTAGAGGATTTAGAAATGATTTTGGAAGACCATTAGCTAAAAAGGGGAAGCGTAAAAGGGCAGAAGCAGAAGATGACGATGATGAAGCTGCAACAGCTGAAGAAATCGAAGAAGATGATGATTTATGGAGGTGGAAAAAAAGTCTATCTTCTTTGACTTACCATATTGGAAGGTATACGTTATGCTTTACGATTAATTTTAACTTTCTGAATTTATGTAAGCTAATTAAATTGTTTCTGATATTAACTCTACTTAATGTTTGCAGGAAATGCCTGTGAGGCATAACATAGATGTTATGCACGTCGAGAAGAACGTCTCAGACGCACTACTATCTATTCTTATGAATAATGCAAAATCAAAGGATGGGTTGAAAGCAAGAAAAGATTTAGAAGACATGGGAATCAGGAGCAACTTACATCCAGAGAAGCGTGGGAAGAGAACTTATTTACCTCTAGCTGCCTTCTGGCTTTCCAAGGAAGAGAGAAAAAATTTTTGTAGACGGTTATCCAAGTTTAGAGGCCCCGATGGATATTGTGCAAATATATCCAATTGTGTCTCGTTGGATCCTTCCAATATCGGCAGCATGAAGTCACATGACCATCATGTTCTCTTGCAGAACCTTTTTCATGTGGCATTGAGAGGTTTATTGCCTAAAGGACCTCAGATAGCTGTCAATCGTGTCTGCAACTACTTCAACAGACTTTGCCAACGAGTTATTGATCCAGAGAAGCTACTGACTCTAGAATCTGAGATTGTGGAAACAATGTGCCAGTTGGAGAGATTCTTTCCACCAACACTCTTCAACATTATGTTTCACCTTCCTCTCCATCTAGCTAGAGAAGCACGCTTGGGTGGCCCTGTGCGCTTCAGATGGATGTATCCCTTTGAGAGGTAATTTTTTTTTTTTTGTCTTTGTTGTATACTTTCAATAAATAGACTAACTTGTATGTTCTGGTATGTAGATATATGAAGACTCTAAAAGCTTATGTCAAGAATTTTGCACGACCTGAAGCTTGTATGGCTGAAGGATATTTGTCTAGTGAATGCATTGCATTTTGTATGGAGTTCCTTCGAAAATCTGTTCCAGTCCAAGAAGCAATTAATAGAAATGAAGATACTGAGGCAACTCAGAATGTCCTTGAAGGAAGACCATTACAGAAAGCTACAGAAGTAACCCTCACAGATAAGGAGAGAGATATAGCTCATCGTTATATCCTCATGATTAATACATCAGTCATGGATCCGTATATTGTGTAAGTAAAACAGCAGCTAGATATATAAAGTGTTATATTGTATACATCGTCTAACTTAATGAAAGCAGGTTGCATTTGGAAGAACTGCAAGCTACTGATGAAAGATGCGCACAAAATGAAACTCTACTGTG